CTGGTTCGAGTGACAAAAAATCCATACAGAGTAATTCAAGTGGTCGACTGGTTCGGATGTTTACCAAGGGAGCAGCCTTTTCTGCCAGTGCCTTCCGTCTCACACATCGGCCACATGTTTTGATGGTACGCTCGACGTCTGCCGCCATCTTTGGCCAGAAGAAGCGCTGCCTCACAAGATCAAGGGTACGTTCTATGCCCATGTGCCCCATGTCATTATGGAGAGCCTTCAAAACCATTGGTCGCAGGTTGGGTGGAAGGATTAACTGGAGGTTGAGTATGTCATTCTCTAGCCTCCCCCTATACAGGATACCATCCTGAAGCTTTAATCGATTCCACTCCCTCAACAGCAGTGGAAGCTCTGGTAATTTTTCTCGAGCAGTCTGGGGAACTTTCTCACCAGTCTCCAGTTGATAAATGACCTCACGGAGGGCAGGGTCAGCTCGTTGTTCCTCTAAGAGGTCTTCATGCAACAGTGATGGAATGACAGGTAGGCCATGGGAATCATCCGTGGTGTAACTGGATGGGATAGCGTTGGTGCTGAGCGGCATGGATTCAACCAGGACAATGTTGGCAGAAACGGAGTCTGACGGATGGTAGCTTCTAACCAGGCAGCTCTGGCAAATGGCTTCAACAATCTCGGGGGAAACTTCTTCAGCTTCACCTGGTTTACATAATTGCTTTGTCAGGTGATGTACAAGTTCCCCATCTTTGTATGAGTGATCTAGGGATTCTCCATGAGAACGCCTTGACAGAGCATCTGCATCATGGTTATGACGGCCAGCCCGGTACTGGATCTTGAATGAAAAGGTTGAGAGAGCAGCTAACCACCGATAGCTTGTGGCATCAAGCTTTGCAGAGGTCAGAACATATGTAAGAGGGTTGCTGTCTGTTACAACTGTGAAATTGGCTCCATACAGATAGTCATGGAACTTCTCAGTCACACTCCACTTATGAGCCAAAAATTCAAGCTTGTGAGCTGGGTATCGTGACTCACTCGGACTCAGGTTGCGGCTGGCATAAGCAATAACGCGGAGCTGGCCTTCTTGTTCCTGATACAGGACTGCTCCAAGCCCTATGGTGCTTGCATCGGTGTGCAGGATATATGGCACCTTGGGGTCTGCAAATCCAAGCACTGGAGCAGAGGTTAGTTTGGCAATGACAGAGGTAAAAGCAGTTTGGCAATCTTTGGTCCATCTGTCTCCAAAAGATTGTTTCGGATCAAGGTAACTGCTAGAAGGATTCTTCTTTGTGGTGGAGCGCCGAACTGGAGCATAACCCCGGGTAAGTGTATTCAGAGGTTTGACAATGCTGGCATAATCTTTAATAAACCGTCTGTAGTACCCAGCAAAACCCAGGAATGATCTCAGCTCTTTTAGATTACGTGGAACTGGCCAGGATTTTAACGATGAGATCTTTTCTGGGTCAGTTTCAACACCCTTCTCAGACACAATATGTCCTAAATATCGCACACTCGACTGAAAAAATTTGCATTTTTCAGGGGATAGCTTCAACCCAAACTCTTTTAACCTGGACAGCACTCTGAGCAGTCGTTTCTCATGCTCATCCAAGGTGGATGAGAAAATGATTATGTCATCCAGAAACACAAGGACTTCTTTGAGATGCAAGTCTCCCATACACTTCTCCATAAGCCGCTGAAAAGTACTTGGGGCATTTGTGATACCCTGTGGCATTCTGTTCCACTCCCAGAACCCCAGTGGCGTAACAAAAGCAGTTTTTGCCTTGTCTGCCTCATCCATCTCAATTTGGTAATACCCCGGCTTCAAATCAAGGACAGAAAACCATTTAGATCCAGTCAGGGCTGAGAAAGACTCCTCCAAGTTTGGGAGTGCATAAGCATCTTTCACAGTTTGCAGATTTAATTTTCTATAGTCAATACACAACCGGACAGCACCATTGCGTTTTCGGACCACCACGATTGGAGATGAGAAAGGTGACTCAGACTCTCTTATTACTCCGGCTTCAAGGAGGTCACGCAGGTGACATCGGACTGCCTCCAGGTCATTGGGGTGTATTGGTCTTGCTCTGTGCTTGAAGGGGGTTTCATCACTGAGCTTGATGGAATGTTTAACTCGGTCAGTACAGCCAAAGTCCATGTCATGGTGGGAAAAGACTTCAGGCATTTCATTAAGCTTGGCTGTTATCCGGTTCCTCCATTCAAGTGGAATGGGTGTATCACCAAAATTGTACTCCAGTGTTGATTTCCTATTCTCTGCTTTAGTTTTAACAGCATGCTGAGTCAAGATGGTAGGTTTTGTTCCAATGTCTGCGATGGTTGTCCTTGGTGGAATCAGTACATCTTGTTCAGACTCGTTCTTCATAATGACAGGAACTGTATATGGGGAACTATTTGGAAGAGTAACCAAGCAGTTCTGAATGCAAAGACCTCCAGGGAGAGGTGAAACAGGATGTTCAATGATGCCTCATTGGTCTGTGGTCAGATGGTTGATTTTTGCAGAGCCCTCTAGAACAATGGTGTGGCCTGCAGGAATGAGAACTGGGTTCTTGCTCATCAGTCTCACAACACCGGCACTGCCCCTCTGATTCTGCTGATGTTTTAATTTTAGGAGCTTCAGTACGGCTTGGTATCCCGGGGCACTTGGCTGGAAGGAGGTGAAATCAGTGTCCACATACTGTGTGTATAGGATCTCGAGAGTGTTCATGCCAATTAGCACAGAAGACAGACTTCCTGGACACACATCAGGAACTACGAGTGCAAGTGTTGGCACTGCAAATTCAGACCCCAAAAATTATTTGGGAAATGTCACTGTTGTCTCCACGTAGCCCAAGTATGGTACAGACTGACCAGCAGCACTTTCCACTTCAAGCAAGTTATGTAATGGCTTGACTGGTTGATCACTGAGGTTTTTGTTGTAGAAGGAAATCGGAATCGTAGTCACTTGAGACCCTGTGTCCAACAGGCAGCAGCAATCACATCCAGCAAGATTCCCCATGGCTGTACATTTGGATCCAATAAGCCCTTCTGGTAACTTAACTGAATTCCTCTTCACAGTTGATTGTAAAACATTTGCATACTGAGCAGTCTTCTTTTCTTTGGGACAGGTTTGGTCCCCTCTGGTCCCCGTCTGTCCCACAACAGGAACCGGGCTTAGTTTAACGGATGCTGCCGGAAGTTAGTTTGTTTTTGGGCAAAGTGTTTCTTCTTTCTTGCTACCAGAGTGGGATTCGGCTGATTCTCACACTGTGGACGTATATGACCATCCTCACCACATCGGAAACAATAGCCAGGTTTGGGCTGAGATGGGGCGCCATGACGTGTTGGCTGTGCAGGGGGTTTCTCTGGTTTACCAGGCCGTTTACCGAAGTACTGAGGTTTTAAGTGATGGTTGGTCAGAGTTGGCTGGTTGGCAGTCAATAATTTCAGCTGCTGTTGCACATCTGCTAGCTGCTGTGCAAGCTGCTGGGTGATGCTGGTTAGGGCAGCTACTGCTCCTTGCTCTTCACGGTCCGTGGTTGCATACTGAGCGTTGGTGGCTACTTTGTGTCGGGAGGACCCTAGATGTTGCTTCATTCGAAGGGTTTTTGCAGCTTCTCGATCCTCTTCAGTGCGCAAAAGAAGCAATAGTTCAGCAAAAGTAGGTGGTTTTGCCTTCTTCTGCTTTAGCTGGAGCTCAGCAATCAAATTGTCATCCCAGCAGCCCCGACAAAACTGGCTTAACAAATGTTGATGGATGTTGGTCTCCAAAGCTCCCCCTCTCTTCACAGCTGCATTAAGAGAACCTTGAAGCCGTTGGAGATAGGAAGATGGTTTTTCCCCAGCATTCTGAAAAGTGTCCATAAATTTGGCGTACAGCTCGTCACCATCTTGAACAGTGCCAAATGCTGAGTCAAGCACATCCAGGTACAAAGCAGGTAAGGTTTCAGAGCTCAAGTGTTTAACTAAGTCTGCAGCAGGCGGTAACAGGCTGTCAACAATTTTTCTTGAGCGTTGGAGATCGGACATGGAAGGGTCCTTTAGAAGTAATTCTAATGCAGACCTCCAGGTTTCAAAGTCTGCTTCATTAGGAGGTCTAGGGACTCGTCCTGAAAACACTCTGAGTCTCTGGTGGTGTGATGTAGCATCATCCCTTTTCACAATGTGCTCTACAACATAACGCTGGACCTCAGGTGGGTGGATATCCAGGTTGGAAATGGATGGTCGTGGCCCAGGTTGTGAAGTAGTACCTGATTGGTAAGTAGATGGCTCCTGTTTCATGCTGGGCACTGCACTGCCTGAAGAAGGACCAGGGGTTGGCGATGGTACAGCTGATGGCTTCACCCAGGGCTCCATTGACGGGGTAATATCCTCTGTGTCCTCTTTCATCGGTGGCACCGGCTGGAGCGAAGCAATGGAGTGACCAATCTGAGTCATCATGGCCTTCAGCACATCCCCATATTCTTTCCCAGTCAATTTGGCTAAGTCCTTCATTTCAGACATGTATAATAATGTTTTATATTTTGCTTCATGCGCCGCACAGACTGTTGCTAAGTCAGAAATGCAATATGTTACTGTTTGATCAGTAGAAACCAGTGTGTGTGGCAGAGATGGTCCTAAAGCTTTGATAGCAGCACCGGAGGAAAACTCTACCACCAATGTTGTATCAAACTCTGAATCAGGTGCAGAAATAATTTCATAGTGTTCAATTGAACCGTACGATTTCAGAAAGTCAAGGGCTTCTTCTGTATCTTCTTTCACTTGTATGCCTTCAACTAGTACAGCATTAGGGATTTTGATACCACGCTTAAGAAAGATATCCATGATGCAAAAAAAAAAATGACCAAAAAAAAAGATGACTATATAACCTAAATTAAGCACAAATCAACATTCTCCTGGCTAGCTCGCCAACTTGTAGCATTTCTTTATCCAAATGCCGATATAAGGAATGAATAAAATAAAAGTTGTAATCATAGGAATATCAGAAGTCTAAGTTCAGCTCTCGGAGAATGTTGAAGATGTGCTCAATGAGACGCCACACAGAATTCAGGTGCAAAAATTGGTGTAATATATGAAAAAGGAAAATATTTACAATATTTACAGTTGCACACAAAAAGTACAAACAAGCCAGTTCAAACTGTGTTAAACTGTGGTCTGCAATTTCCACTTCATATAGTCCCACAAAACTGTATTATTGTAACAAAAAAAGAAAGTTGATTGTGAACCAAGAATTGAATGATATTGAAAGGTAAGTAAATGGCTGTATGTGGGTTGAGAAAAACGAGCTGCAGTGCCTCCTACCACACTGATGGGAGTTGCAGTCGCTTCCTTCCAGGCAGAGGCACGAGGCCTGTCTCTAGCTCGCCACCCAATATATGGAAACAAAGGAACCTGGCCAGTTCCGGTTTTAGAGAGTCTCACAGGGCTCAAAAATACATCAACCCTCGGTTGGTAGAAGTTTCTAAAAGTTGCAAGGTATACCAGTGAGTGTTATAGCAGTTAAGATAGAAAAATATGACTTTAAGTCGGCTAATTGCCTACCTGCAGCAGCTCCATACAGACACCAGCCCATGCTACATACAACAGTGAGCGGCCATACTTGTTGAAATCTCACCGGAAGTCTCGTGGGAAAATCTCGCGGCAAATCTCGCGAGATTACAGACTTAGTGCCTGACAGAGTAAGTTTAGAAACGGGAAATAAAGGATAAGCCTTAAAACAGCTTGGTTACATTAACAATGAGGAAAACACTGTTCTACGTGCTAATATGTGCAATTACACACCAGTCCTCCAAACTCTTACACGTCGCCCCTAAATGTCTGACTTAGCAGCTTCAAACATTTAAAGTAGGAAGCATCCATCTTGAATCCAAAAGTCAGGTTTTTTTTTTTACTCTTATTATTTTTTCATATCTCAGTTTCACTAACATTGTTTCTGGAATAGCACTGCTAGCACTGCTGCCTTGCAGCAAGAAGGTTGCAGGTTCGATTCCGGGCCCGGGGTCTTTCTGCATGGAGTTTCCATATTCTCCCCTGAGCATGTGTGGGTTCTCTCTGGGCACACTGGCTTCCTTCCACAGTCCAAAAACATGACTGTTAGATTAGTTGGCTTCTCTAAAAATTCTCCTTAGGTGTGAGTGTGTGCGTGAATGGTTGTTTGTCCTGTTCGTCTCTGTGATGGACTAGCGACCTGTCCAGGGTGTACCCGCCTGTGGACAGCTGGAGATAGGCACCAGCACCCCTCGCAACCCCACTTGGGTTTAAGCGTGTCAGAAAATGGATGGATGATTCACAATTGACCAGAGAGGGCTGCAAACTTAATAGCCCTTTTTTTGTTTGAACTGAATTGAAAAAAATGCACCTATTGCACATTCTTTCTATAATTTCAAATTTCCCCCATTGTTTCAGGAGAAACTTGCCTTGGACATTTATAATCTCGTTTTCAGTGTGCAAATGGATAGCACCAATAGTTTATGATGCAGTCTTCATGGGTTCAAGTCCTGGTTCGTTGACCTTCGCTGTATATCTTCCTCCTCCCCCTCAACCCACTTCCTCTTAGCTTACTTTCAAACAAAGTCCATGAAATGCCAAAAATAGGTGGACTTTTCCTTTACACTACAAGGAACTCTCTTCAACAAAGAAATAAGCTGTTTTCTTAGTAAAGTTATTCTTGGAACAGATTTAACCTTGTCTAGTTTTAAAAATAAGGTGGTGAGTAAACTAGCTTTGAACAGATTCAGCACCCATAAAGAACTAAGGCCAAGCAAGATCCCAGGCAGCTTCTTCAATCAGCAGGAAAGGAGCTGATATCCAACCAGAAGGTTACTGTAGGACATACTGGAAGCAGTTCTGTCACACAGTTCATTAACTCATCAGTGTGACAGAGCTCATTTTACTCTTCCAACTTCCATGCTCTCTGTCCTCCAATTGATCAGCCTGTCACAACATGGGTATTCACACTATTCTTGATTTAGTCAATTCAGAAGCACTCACACTTAATGTCTTGTAAGTTAAATGTTGAAAAAAAAAAGGAAACTACACTGTAATACTTTTCACTGTGAATTTACAGTAATTTACTGGCAGCAGCTTCGCCAGTAAACTACTGTATTATTTACAGTATCTTGCTGTAATATATAAATACAGTATATTGCTGTAAATGATTCTACAGTTTATTACTGTAAATTTACAACAGATCGTATATATTCATTTAATGTAAATTTACAGTAATTTACAGGCAACAGCTTTGCCAGTACTGTATTTTTGCAGTTCTGCTTACAGTACATTAATTCTACAGTTCATTACTGTAATAATACAACTACTAAAAAAAGTAATACAATTATTAGAAATAAATTATATAAATAAATGAAAGCTGGAAAATATTCAGTTTCTTTTCAAATATTTATTTGAAAAATAGTGCCTCATGAAAATTACAACATTGTCAAATTGTGTGATCTGAATACTGTAAAGGATGGACAGAAAAACTTTGCTCACACTAAATGTTTTCAATTTGCTAAAACTCTCATACTGGAGCTAAACTTGCTTTCTTATACAAATACCCCAGCATTTTCCCTAACACTGTATGCATATTAGGGCTGGGAATCACTAGGTGCCTCTTGCAATATTTTGCAATTCATATAAAATGAGCAAAACAGTAAAGTAAAGCGCACAGTGCCTCTTCTTAATGTACCATATGTAAAATAAACATTTTAGTCGGTGCATTATAATCACAAACAATTTAGCATCATAAACTAAACATTAATAACCTTTAAAATTTGTGCCATCATATTTGGCAAGAACTTGTCAAACAGAGAGATCTCTTGAATTTCTTCACTGTGCTTTGTGGCATCTCTCGAGACTATTAAGAAGCTAATTCCTACATTCAGACAGGGTACTGTGTAAAGACATACCTTCCAGAACTCAATAACTGTAAATACACTTTCTGAATCAACAGACTCAAAATGACTCATTTGTGAGGAAAGGTCTTAAAGTTACCTTCAGAGGAATAGTTTACCCACAGAACAATTTAACTTTATTTTCCGCTGACCTTCATGGTGAGCAAGACTCTGGAACACTTTTTTAATATTTCAAATGCAGCCGGGGATCAGGACGACTACTCGTTTTCCACAAGTCCACAAAACTTGTCAATATTCATCCATACTGCTCGTCCAATCTAATCCAAGTGTCCAAAGTGGGTAGTGTCCATAATTTACTAAAAACTACGCCATTTAGTATATTTTTAGAGCCTAAATAGAAGTAAATTGCATCTCTTGCATCTCGGCAGCAAAGGCTCTGAACGCCGAGGCTTCCGTAGTTTCGTGAATGCGCAGGTGAGCGCTCCATGGAGTAATATATTCTTTTTAGGCTCTAAAAATATCGTAAATGACGTCGTTTCGAGTAAATTCTGGATGCTACCCACTCAGGACATTTGGATTACATTGGACGAGCAGTATGGAGGAATATTAACAAGTTTTTGTGGACTTCTAAGGACCTTGTTGGCTCGGGCTCAATCGAACTCCATTATATGAAAGTTGGGGTAAAACGAGAAGTCGTCCTGATCTCCGGCTGCATTTGAAATATTTGCTCACCATGAAGGTAAGTGGAAAATGAAGTTAAATCAATCTGTGGGTGAACTATTCCTTTAACAATATTTTGCAGACTGCACATAGATTTAAGTGCTAATGTAGGGACTTTTCTACATGCTGAACCGTTGCAAATAGAACTAAATCTTGCAAGATCTCACCATGCTCTTACAAAATCTTGTGAGATTTCCTTTGGAAAAAATATCAATACAGCATTTTTTTAAATATCAATATGATACCGCAACATATAACATCGTGCATCGTTATTTTGTCATACCCCTAATGTGTATGCGTGTGTATCAGACAAAGTCCCACTTGAAATCACTGATCTTCTTGATGAGTGTGCTGACATGCGGATTCACAGATGTTGACTTCTTCTGGACCATCTTGCCGCTCTTCTTGCTTTTCACCATCTCATGGCTTGCTTTTGTGCCTCTCTCCGGGTTGATGTCAATGCAGCTTCTGTAAAACAACATCGACAAAAAATTTTTTTTTTCCTTACGGTTTTATCAGTCTATGAATGTAGCATGTCAACAATATACAATGTAGTGATCCAGTATGTTAAACCACAAAAAGGAGTTTCAGACGTAACATTACTACAAAGGTAGCATTTGTAGTGTTTGTGGTTGCTATACTTGTGTCAGAGCCTAAGGACCATTGGCTATCACGTCAAGGTTATTGGCTTATGGTGTTGTATGAAGAAAAGTCAATCAAATCAAGCTCTGTGGAACACTATATTTGAAAGAGAAGCTACCTCTGAAAGAACTCCAATGTGCATGCTGCTTCATGTTGGTACTGCAGGTTAAAATTGTAGTAGGAGGAGAAGACTACTGCAAGGCCAAGAACAAAGGATGTCCCATCACATAACACCTCTTTCTTGATGCTCAACATCCATCGGTTTGCCTGTGCCATATGACCTAAGAAAAAGACAAGTTGGAAACAATAAACAGAGATCCCAGAAATAATGGAATCAGTCTCGTCTGATTATGTTTCTACGGAAGAGGATTAGGGCTACTGCAGAAGAAAAATAATTCTGAGAAAAAAAGTCAGAATTCTGCCTTTTCAGAATTTGAAAAAAAAATCTATTCAAATGTTCTGAGAAATAAGTCTAAATTCTGACTTTTCTCAGAAAAAAAAAAAAAAAAAAACGCAACCGGTGACAACCTCATATCTAAATAGGAAAAAAAAAGGCGAATACTGAATTATGTTCACTCACTCTCTGGAGAGGGTGGAGGACGTCAGGCAGCTCCTGGCATCTGTGATGCAGCTCGGTTGTGACCGGTTCACATTGGCTTTGTGCAGCAGAGCCGCAACTTCGGCTGTGAAGAAGTCTGGGGTGAAGGGGAAGTCGCAACTCGCAAGACTCCTTTGCTAGATGCAGAGAAAAAAGAAGCCTATGGTGAAATCCACCATTTAAAAAAAACAAAACAGAAAACATAATGCTGACTCTTAGTAATTTTGGCCAAGTTTAGCACTTTGCCTGTTTTGTTTCTCTTTTGATGTGGAAACTCAACTGAAATAATTTATAGAGCACTTTAACACAACAGAGGAAACTTATAACATGCTAACTCAGACCTGCCATGTTACTTATCCATTCCCCTGATGTTTTAATGTTGATTTAACATTAACTTGAGACAAAGCTTACACAATTTTATCTAATGTTATCTTACAAAAACAACATTTTTCAACAGCGTTTTTGTAAAACTTATAAACAGTAGAAAACTAAAAAGAGAGAAGTCCTCAAATCCCGTTTCTAAATCAGGAACAAAAAAGTGAATAATGTGAACTTACTCTGTGAACAGTGTGGAGGACGTTGGGCAGCTCCAGGCATCTGCAGTTGGCTGAGCAGTTTTCTGAGGACCGATGGTCTAGAATCCTGTTTTCCCGCACTTTTCTTTCACCTTCCCATAATACTTAGCAGTTTACAGTAAAAGTGCAGTAATATTGTAAAAAGAATGACATTCTCTGAAATTGCTGTAATCTTTTTTTTTTCTCCCAGATTGCATTGCAGTTTACAGTATGATACTGTATGGCAGTGATACAGTAAAATACTGTTCAGATTTAACTGTAAATTTACATCAAAGGCTTACAGTGTATCAATCAATTCCTGTATGACTAATAAAATTAGGACAGCAGATCAGGACGTGC